TGGGAATAATGTCTGGCCTCCGGGCGAGCCTCCTTATATACTGACGAGACCAAATCTTACTCCCATGTTTTTCGCCCGCCACCATGCGCGGCCTAGCGGCGGCCGGCGAACTACTCGCCGGCTGGTGCTCGTGCGCGCGCGCGCGCGCGTCGCGCAGTGCCGGATTGCCGAGATGTGCCGGATCGCGTATTGCGACCGCCACAACGTTAATTTCAAATATGCAGTATTCAAGTAGCAGCAACAGTTTAAACTTCATTATACATTATTAAAATTATTCACCATTACAGCAGAACGTTTAATAGAACAGAAATTATTTTATTTTTTATTTGATGACATCGTGTATAAGCAGACATTTGGGATCCCGATGGGGTCCCCACTCTCCCCCGTCATCGCGGATATTGTAATGCAGGATCTAGAGGTGACAGTACTTAAAAAAATCAATCTTTCTCCGACTCTTTACTATAGATACGTTGATGACATAATTATGGCAGCACCAAGCGCATCAATCAGCGATATCCTAGTAGAATTTAATAATTACCATAATAGGCTAAAATTCACGATCGAACACGAATTGGATGGAGCCATCAGTTTCCTGGACTTACGATTAAAATCAGATGATAACAATTTAACGATAGATTGGTTTCACAAAAAGACATCATCAGGAAGATATCTATCTTTCTTCTCTAACCATCCGATGTGCCACAAGATAGGCATGATCTACAGTTTAGTAGATAGAGCACTGACGTTGGCAGACCCTTTTTTCCACACAAAAAATATAGAATATTGTATAAACGTTTTAATCGAGAATGGATACCCCCTCCCACTAATATTTAAAGAGATAAATCGTAGAATAAGAGTATTGCATAATAGAAAAGAAAACATTAACACGGAACCTGATGACAAACCGGAAAGGAAAATCATAGTCCTTCCTTACATCCAAACGATCTCGAGCATTGCAAAAAAACACATAGACAGATCAAAGTTCATGCTGGGATATCGCTGTGTGAATAGACTTACTAAATACATTAACACACATAAAGATAAAATCGAAAGAACGAAGGAAACGAATGTAGTATATAAAATACCATGCGAGGAATGCAATGTGTCGTACGTAGGACAGACTAAGAGAAGGTTGAACACGAGACTTAAAGAACATATGAACAATGCTAGACTGGAACCATCGAGACACTCGGTATTAACCCAACACATGGCTGAGACTAATCACACCATGGATTGGAAAAAAGCCTCGATTCTTGACAAGGAACCGCTATGGCAGAAAAGAATAATCAGCGAGATGATCCACATAAAGGAGCAAGAAAACAGCATCAATTTACAAAAAGATACTGAGTCACTCGATGGTACCTATTTTGACCTCCTTAAAAAGCTATCTAATTTTAAAGAATAACATTAACAATACATAGATAAACACAAGACGCGACCGATCTTAGTCTGTAACTACAAGTCAACGGAGAGTGACACAGATCTGTCCACAAAACTCGTATTAATAACGAAAAAACCGGGAGATAAAAATGTAAGTTTAAGATATCTACTATCAATTTCTTAACATTAACAACCTAACAAAGAAAATTTACACATCAGATCAATCACCAGAAGAACGGTCCTATTTTAGCCGACTAACTAATAATAGGAAAATCCGAACCGCAGTACAAGTTATTAGACGGGAAAGAACAGATCTCGGACAACAAAAACCACACGACAGCTCACTATAAAGATAATGCGTTTTACAATTCTTGACACAAACTCCATTTTATATCTTTTACTTTTTGACCGTAATTATACTTTGTAATATATTTATACACCTATACATTCTGACCATTTTACACTGTTAATCTAGATGTAGGTAATTTTATGATTTTATATTAGTAACTTAAATTTGCGCTGAAGAAGGTGCTGTGACACCGAAACGTCCGCAACAATCTTGTATACCTTTGAATTTTTAAATATACGAAGTAAATGTTTTAAATTATTAACTAATGTCATCATCTATTCGCTCGTAACATTGGCCTTTATATTGACTCATTTGTTTTTACATATAACGAGCTGATCATACTAAATTAATTTTTGAAATTATTTTAGTTCTTTAGCTAAATATTTCGCACGATTATTTTTCAATAAAATTAGTGTTTTTAACACATAGTTGTCCATAGAAGAGAAAATAACTTTATCATAAAATAACGGACAAAATTTCCTTAAGTTTACATAAGATATATTGTGTTAGCAAATTATTTTTCTTCGCGTGATGTCTGTAAGTGGAACAAGTTTTCGACTTGCCTGCAACATCCCTGAGATCTAAGTAGCTGCCCTCTTGTGCCGTTCAGTGAACTAAATTTGCAGTCGGTAATCAATCTCTCATGGTGAAAGGGCCGGCGCAGCAGCTAAGATTCACCCTGTATATAGTGATGATTAATTCGTGGAAACAAGACATATCCTTTCACGCTTACATGGAAGAACATTTTAATGCGTAAAAGAAGAGTTGGATCTAAGGCGTTAGAAATTATACATGCAAAAATATTAATCGTATTATTGTTCTTATAAAAGTTGCGTCATTGTACAAAAATATTTTGCTGTATTTAGTAATTTTATATTCTTTAAGTACAGCAATAATGTAATTAATTTAAGCTAATATAATATTCGAGACATTACAATATAATTTAATAAATTTACCAAAATCGTGTTTAAATGTGTATTATACAAAGGATGAAAGTATAAGCGGGTACAGTATCGCGAGAGAACATTCTATTATTTAATACTTTTCGTATAATTATGTCGTTAATTTTTACCCACGAATATTTTTCGCGAGTGTCCTATGCATGGATGCAGTGTGTCCATGGTCCTGTGCAATAAAGAGAAAAGGCAGAGATACA